CGCCATACGATTTTCCTCCAACACCATCTCCTCCATTCCGCGCGCACTATCCGCCAATTCCAACTCCTGTATTTCCATCATCTAGACGGCCAGTGGGCTGATTTCCTCAGAAGCAAACATTTCACATGACGGAACCACTTTCTGCCCCTCCGCCTCTGTATCAATCGCCTCAGTCTACTTCTCTCCTTCTTCTAGTGTCGATTCTTCCCTAACCCGATTCACTGCATTGGGGGAACTCAGTCAGGTGGGGATTTTTTTTCTCCACTCTTGGATCATTTTCATTTTGGGTCGACTTGGATCGGGCTGGTCGACCAACTTTTCCTTCTCGACCCACAACAATCTCCTCTTCCCTTTTTCTCCCCTGTTCCGACCCATGAGGTTTTGAGTCTCTTTTTCACTTCTCCAGCCACCCCAAAATAGTAAACTCTCTTTGTGTTTTGACTTCTCCTCCCTTGCCTACCCACTCTAAATTCATATCTTGCCCAACCCGACTCACTAACGGACCCACTCTGCCCTACCCGCATTCCGCTTGCATCAATCCCCTTCACCGCCGCCGCATACGTTTTCACAGCTGCTTCAACTATACACATCTCTGTCTGGCAGTTGGGACATTTAAACACGCTGATACCCTAAACATTTGATCCCTCATCCGGCATCTCCGTGCTCTCCTTAGTTCCCTTATTCTTCCCGTTATAGTCTGGATTCACAATATCCCTTTCAGCACGTTCAAATACAAATCGCATTATTTGCCACCATCCATCCACCTCCGGTCTGTCCGGAATAATAATTTGTTTCGCATGCTTGCCTCTCACTTCTGACAAAACCAGAAATCTCCCTCTTCTATTCCATCCCAGCGCAATCCTGAACTGGCATCCATGCCTGATTTTGTTCCTTTCCTAGAAATCTTCCCCCTTCTGCTAGTAAAAATCTTCCAGTGCCTCCAGTAGTCACTCGACTTCCTCCTCCAATGAAATTGAGACCCTAAATCCTCTTCCGATTTCACTTATTCGCAATCCCTTCATTTCCCTTCCCTCACTCACCAAATCAAACGATTTTCCCTCAATCGTCACAAACTTATAGCCAGTGTCTCTCATCTCTTGACCGGAATAGTCAGCCGTCGTGGCCTACCCGCCTTCACCCCTTACCACTCGCTAGTAACACTAGGAAGCAACTGTAATTCACTGGAACCTTAATATGGAGGAAGATAATAGAAGAATAGAGAGATTGTTGAGGAATGGTATTTAAGCAGAAATCCTGAGCCTAGAAGGACATTAATAATGGGAAGAAACATGTGGGTTTTATTTCTCTTACTATCTTATGGGTGGTGTGAAAAGAAAGAAATAAGAGAGTTTTTGATAAGGTGGAAGAGGATTTTGCTAGGGATAGAGACAGATGGCTCCATATCCTGAGTTTTTTTTTTTACTATGGAACATCCTATCCATTCTATAGAGGATTTCATAGATTTTTCTGATATATTGACTTTTAATATTTTTGTATATAGTGAGCACTCCCTTAATGCTTGTGAATTAATAAACTGTACTATACTTTTATTTCAAAAAAAAAAAAAGCTTAACCTTAAAGCACCCCTGACACCAAGAACAGATAAATATAATGAGATGATAGAAAATCATACCTTCTGAGAGGACAAAATCATTTCCGTAAAAATTAATGCCAAGAAATATCTTGCTGGTCAGACTCTGAGCCTTATTGCTAGCTGACGGAAGGAGTAGCTGCAAGGTGAAATCGATCCACTTCAAAGGAGCACTAGGACCTGGATTATGAGGACCAGAGAAATCATATGTCATCAGTGAGAAGCCATCTACAGAATCATTCAAGCTCTGAAGATCCTCTGGGGTTATATCGTGCTCTTCGAGCTTCTCTGAACGAGGTGGACCTATAACAAAGACCAGCTGCAAATGTTGTTTGTCCCTTCTCATTGAGCTCACAGAATGTAATGCATCACCAAGTTGTTTTATAAACTGCAGTGCCTACACTAGAAAATTAAGGATTAGGTCAAACCTCATGAATCATACAGAACATCTAGACTGCAGTTTCATTCCCTACCAGAAATCCAAGTAGCTGAAAGAGCTTTGTATGATTAGTTATCAGTATAAGTAAAGAGTTAAAGTGTCCAAGATATTGTAACCATATAATTTTTTGATTTGGTAGGCAGGCTGATACTAGCATTAAAGAGAACCCAATTTCTGATTCTGTTGAGGTGGAATGTTTTACCGTTCTATGAATCATCAAAAAAATTACAAATATCATCTTTTCTGTTGTAATTGTCTTCAAACAGAAAACCAAAGGAAAGAAAGAGCAAAGAAATAAACGAACCAAGCAACATAGTATAATTGAAAAGCTCATCAAACCACATTAATAAAGGAACCAGATGATCAAGTTGAATAAAAATATACAATTCAGTAGCATGATTCCAAGAGCCAAAACTCAAACCTCAATGTAGGACAAGGGTTTGAAACCAACTTATGTAGGACATGAGAATTAGAAGAACTGAGTTTTGTTAAATAGAAGAATATGAGAGGAACGTAGATGAATTGTAAGATAAGGGCAAAAGAATGAGAGGTATTAGAGAGTAAACACCAAGAACAATATGATTACTGAGTGATATTCAAGGAACTTGATCTACTTAATAGATTAGTAGTATTTATATGATGATAAAAGTAGAAGTTCCTAAATCTTGATGAAATTTAAAATCCTCTAAAACTAACTTTGACTTCCTAAAGAGCCTACATGATTTAGAATACTAAATGTCATTACTAATTACTACTAAAAATATTTTTAAGATTCCCTAAGTCGGCATTAATATTCTTAATCCTATGCCTCTGAAACAAAACAAAAATTCTGCAAAGTAACATAACCTACCATTTTCCGCATGTCAGGGTCATGCAAAACACCAAAAGCTGCCCACCTAGACCAAGACTCCAGGACGATACCATCATACTTCATTTCCCTAACATCAAGGAAGTAATTCACGCAAGAATATTTAAAATTTACTTGAAAACAAAGAATTACAGATACAACTACTTAAGGAAAGTTATGCTAGGATCATTCAACACCAGAAGCTTTATATGTGATAAATAGTGCCTAATCACACCATTACTACGAAAGAAAGAAAAGAAAACATTAAAGAGTCTCCTTTCCAGAAGAGACTTGAAGTCCAACAAAATCAGTTCTTGACAAAGAATTTGCTCAATAACTCAAAAATTACTATCTTTTTAAAATAAGGTGCCTGAAAAAATAATATCAGGATCATGTAGATGTGACCGAAAGTACATAAAGGTCATTGAGTAATATAAATTTATCATGCCACGTATTTCCTGGCTTTATATGAGATACATATTGGCCAGGTTAAGACTTTCATCAGTTCTTACAGATTTTATTTTGCCAAAGAACTTACTTGCATTCTGTCACAATAAGGTGAATAGCTTCATCTCTCAGTTTCTTCCTCCTAAGGAGCTCCTTAGGAAATGCTTCCAGAACAACTCTTGGCAACAACTATGAATCAACATGGTGTTAAAAAAATATAAAAAAAAAACTATATATGCATGTTTTGCAAGAGTTTGTAAAGAACAAAGCGTGAATCAAAGAAAGAAAACAAGCTATTCCAATCGCCTATAAAGCAGATAACTCTAATAGAAGTCTCTCCATTTTACACAACTCATCACGGTTATTTTCAATCATTCTGTTCTTATGGAGAGTGCAAAGTGCAAAGGAATTCAATACCTAAAACAAAGCAATTTTAATGAGCATAATTTTCATGATTGTGTTTTCTGTTATTTTCTTTCCTTTTAGTTACCTCTGTTTCCAACTTAGTTTGGAAGATACATCATATCCAACTACTGGAAGAAGAGATGCATAGAAAGAAATTGATTGCCTTTTCTATTACCATAACATCTCCTCTGGTTCGAAGCTCTGAGATCCATGCTTTATCAGCATTATGTCGCCCTTCCAAGAGTAAGCCTGTCCCTAGGCTGCTACCAGAAGAATGACAGGATCTAATTACTTTATTTGAGTATAATGACTTCGAGATAATTTTTGAGGTAATCATCCCACCACCCGTTACCTTTTCCACCTAATCCTCTTCGAATCTTCCCTCCCAACTTAGCTAAAAACTCTCATGGTATTTACCACGAATGCTATTTATCTAACTATTATATTGCTTTAAAACCTCAGTTGAACTTTGTTACTAGCATTTGCTTAAGCAACAGAGGAAACTCTCATCAGGACACGGACATACCTCTTTAGATCATACCAGACCGGTGATAAATGGGTGAATTTAGAGTTGAACCTCTTGGCCATTTCGTAGCCCTTCGAGTTCCTGCACATAAACAGGAATTCTTCATCCATGCTAAACTTCATGGACATTCCAGAAGCATATAAGACCAGAATTTAATATTCAAACCAACTATAACCTTAACGGATACCTTCCATTGTCCAGAATTAAACACTGTAGAACAAAGCTTAGTACAAAAAGTAAGGGCATAAAAATGAGCCTACCACGAAGTAATATACGCCAACACCGGATAGGTGTAATGTCGCTGAGACACATTCTCTGATACCTTTGCGTTCTCCTGAAATTTTTTGAATCTTTGTTCAGACAAGAATATTGCGATTTCATGTTCCATTAGAAAATGAAATATGTTCGCTTAAATTTTCTCCGCTTTTGATTTTTCTAGACTTCCTCAGTAACAGAACGTGTTACTACTTACAGTGAGGATTTCTTGGTAACTGATGTCGGTTTTGATTAGTCCTCGTTGATGTACGGATAACCCCGCATGGGTGACTCGTGGAGTGAATTTGATCCAGTAGACCAATACGGATACGGCGGGAATTACGATGAAGAAGAGAACGAAGATGATAAGGAGTTTGCGACCGGAGGCTGAGTCGCCGAATTGGTCACCAGGATTCGTTGTTTGGACTCGGACCTTGCGCCAATCAGAACTAGGTGCAACTCGGCGTTCTCGCCTCTTCGCCATATGGCTGGGTTCCCGGGTCACAGACTCGCTGACTAGTCAAAGAGCTTGCTCCGATCTCAGATTACAGTAGGGCCATGTGGGGGGCGGCAAGACGGAAAATGGAAGAAACGGAATCCTTTGATCTGCCGAACCGGGTTGCCAAGAAAACGACATAGTTTTGGAAACTGTTAATTACAAATTTACCCTTCTCGTTAGATTAATAGTTCGTTCAAGCCCCAAATAAAATAGCCGGATAAGACGAAGATAACAGAAGTTGCACACAAAAATCTGTGCAAGAGGGTTTTTGATAAACCCTATTTGTGGGAGCAATGCAAAACGCAAAACCAGTCATTAAGAGAGAACTCAAGCATAACAGGTAATTGGTTGCTGTATCCATATCTCTTATGTTACTTGTTCCCTTTGAGCTTTTTATTTTCTCCGTGTTTTGGTGAGAAGATAAAACTGGAAATGGAACCAAGACTTTCGCTTTCTACGCCAAATTACTCAGCATCTCCCACCTTACCTTTTTCTCTCTCTTACAAGCCTCCTCTTCTTCAAAAACCCAAAATTTCTGTCAAATCCCATACTTGCCTTCCAACAATCCAGGCAACCAAATCGCTGTTCATGGGAAAAAAATTGATTTTGCAAGAGAAATGTGGTCATTTCGATAATATAAGGAAACCATGTGTCCCAGTTGAACCAATACGAGCGGCTGTGAAGAGAAGGAAGGAGCTTCCTTTCGATAACGTGATTCAGAAGGACAAGAAATTGAAATTAGTACTGAAGATAAGGAAGATTTTAGTGAGTCAACCTGATCGAATTATGTCGCTTAGGACATTGGGTAGGTATAGAAGGGATCTGGGTCTCAAGAAAAAGCGTCGGTTTATTGCTTTATTGAAGAAGTTCCCAGCAGTGTTTGAAATTGTAGAAGAAGGGGCCTATTCATTAAGATTCAAATTGACACCAGAAGCAGAAAAGCTTTACTTGGAAGAGCTGAAGGTTAGAAATCAGATGGAAGACATATTGGTTGTTAAGCTGAGGAAATTGTTGATGATGTCCTTGGAGAAGCGTATCTTGTTGGAGAAAATTGCCCATTTGAGGACTGATCTAGGGCTTCCTATAGAATTTCGGGACACAATTTGTCATCGGTACCCTCAGTATTTCCGAGTAGTTGCAACTGAACGTGGCCCTGCTTTAGAGTTAACTCACTGGGATCCTAAGCTTGCAGTATCAGCTGCTGAGTTGGCTGAGGAAGAAAACCGAGCTAGAGAGTTGGAAGAGAAGAATTTGATTATAGACAGACCAGTTAAGTTCAATAGAGTGAAGCTGCCCAAGGGTCTTAATCTTTCAAAGGGTGAGATGAGAAGGATATGTGAGTTCAGGGACTTGCCTTATATATCTCCTTATTCAGATTTTTCAGGATTAAGGTCTGGTACAAAAGAGAAGGAAAGGCATGCTTGTGGGGTTGTCCACGAGATTTTGAGCCTCACAGTCGAGAAGAGGACTCTTGTTGATCACATCACTCATTTCCGGGAGGAGTTTAGATTCTCTCAACAACTTAGGGGAATGCTGATTAGGCACCCTGATTTGTTCTATGTGTCTCTAAAAGGAGATAGGGATTCAGTCTTTCTCAGGGAAGCATACCAAGATTCTCATTTGATAGATAAAGATCCATTAATCCTTGTCAAAGAAAAGTTCCGTGCTCTTGTTTCTGTTCCAAGATTCACAAGGAGGGTTACACCCAAGAAAGATGATGAGGAAGAAGTAACAGATGAACTGAAAGATTGGAGTGGTGAGGAGGGAGAAGAATGGTCTGATCTTGATAGTTATATGAGTGGTGATGGATTTGATGATGAGGAGGATGAGGATGATGACGAAGAGGATGGTGATGATTGGAGTGATGAAGATGATGATACACCTCCTGATTTTGATGAAGATGATGAAACTTTGAAGATTGGATTGGCCAGTTCAAGTAAACAAGCAGAGAACTCTGCTAAGAATGAAGACAAGGTGCCTGTTCCTGTGTTTCCTGATGGTCAGCCAAGGGAGCGATGGTAGAGCCAGTTTGGAGATACTAACCCGGGATTCGGTTATCTGTCTCTTTGATTGAAATAGGTATGCGATCATCTTGCCGTCTTAATCCTTTGATTATCTTTAGCAAGGTTCTGGAAAGATAGGGCCTGAACTTTATACTTGCAAGTATCCTGAAGTACGGAATCAGAAATTAACAGGCATTAATCTCAAATACTGTCTCTCCTAGCGATTAATAGATTTGTCCCCTATAGTTGTTAAAAGCAAGAAAACAAAAACTTTATGTGAACGATAAGTTATTGTAGTCTATTCTCAATCAACATGTAGTACATTTCTTTTTTAGTATAAATGAAACACCATAATCTCCTAGTGCATTCAAGGGAACGCCGAGTTCAATTTTTTTGTTCTTTTACAGCATGATATTATTAAAGGCTGTACTTTAATGTGTGTGAGTTTTATGGACATTTCTTACTCGCTATGGAGCAATTGCAGAATATGAATGATGATAAGCTTTATTTATTATACATTTCTATTAGGATAATTCAGCTTAGATATGTCCGATGTGCAGAGCACGCGGATTTAAACCTAAGGCTTTCTGACTTTTGGTTACCCAGTTCCCTGTCTGGTTATCGGGTTATGTTCAAATCCTCTCCTCCCCCAAGTGCAGGAAGCTTCTCAGCCACCATCACTAGATTAGGACTCTGTTCCTCCGTTTGAAATCCAAGTTGCTGATTTAAACCATGGAGAGGGAGGGAGTTGGAGCAGCGGGAACAACTATCCTCAAATCAGACTTGAAGAGAGTTTATTGAACACGTACTGGTTTAAGGGCGTAGCAAAGGAAATGAACTTCAGACTGATGGATGGGTTGGACAGGAAGCCCGAAGAAAGTATAGAAGAGGATGAGGACAGCTGATCTATTGCTTTCATCAGAATCAAGGAGAGGCCATTTAATCTTCAAAATAACTCGAGAACTTACTAGTAGTAAAAGAATTATGGAGCTGTTCATAAATTTATAGCTCTTACTATCAGTTGATGAGGACAAAAATGGCATACTCGTTCTCCCGTCCACGTGGAGAATCGGAGGGAAGGGATGGGATAAAGACTCTGGTATTTTATCTATTCAGAGTGGATTGAATTGAATTCGAAATTAAAAATCTAAAATTTTCACATAGAGTATTTAACAGAAATAGAAAAGAATTGGTTTTTTTGGGTCTGATCTTCCTCCATCTGGTTAACTTAAAATTTTCAATTATCAGATTATGGACATCTTTAAAGAAGAGAATAAAATAACCTAGCACGAAGAAAATGAGAAAAAGAAAGGGAAGGGAATGAAAATAACTTAGTTATAAAACAATTCGTCTGGGTTTTTCAATCATTTTTCTTACTTAGTCTCCATGTCATTTTCAGTCTTAATATATTATATTATTATTGATACGTATGGTTATGAGATAATTTTATGTTTGATTTACTTCGGTTCTTTGAATTCCCCATACAAAAGATTCAAAACAAGGTTAGAATAACTCATCAAGACATATTATATATATATATATTGTTATAAAGAGAAGCAATGGTCTAGAAAACTAAGAGTTTTTTGTGCGCATTCTGAGGGTAAGAAATTCTAATGATATCATACATGATAAGTTGTTGGACATCACTTAACACATGAGCATACCGATAAAGATCAAGTTACAACGAGAAGTCAAAATTTGTTAATTAATTAATATATTTATTCTCTTTACGATAAATATATTAAATTTTAACACACTAATTTTTCAATAATAAATATTTAACAGTACGAACGAGTGCAGCATGAATATTAATATAATAATACTATTCAGGAGTTAGGCAGGAATTTATATTATAATTATTTAAAAAATTAATACAATAATTACAATTTCATTAAGAATTTAATAGAGAATGATAAAACAACCCCAAACGTAAAGTATTTTTTCTGTCCTCCCATTCTCGGCAAATCATTGTCTCCTTCACAAAGCATTCATGCCCCTGGAGGTTGGCTCAGTGTTTGGTTCAACTTTTTTTTTTTCAATAAGAACATAAAACTTCTATCTAATGCTAGTGTTCTGCAAATCATTTAACATACATTCCTTTTTTTTATAAACAATTTGCATGCTGTTAAATAATTTATAAGCCCTTCTATTTTATTTTAAGCTGGGCCAGAAAAATTTTTATTTTTAATCATCTTATTCTGTTTTATTTGTTTGTTTCTTGAGAAAATTTTCCTGTTTGAAAGTCTAAAACAAAAACCAATCTCCTTCCTGCTATTTATGGGCAAGACAACAGAGGGAAAAAAAAAAGCTGGATTTTTCCTATTAACATAAAATATTGCACGGATTTTTTTTTTTTTATTAACACTCCATGCATTTTAATACAGAAGAATAGAGAGCTGTAGATGGTAAACGGTGCGTTTCGTTCCATGACAGTATCAGGATAGGCCGCCTTATCCACAAGGACAGAAATCCGACATCCCTTTTCTAGTGTAAGCCGAGGAAAAGCCATGGGAGTGAAAAGATCACCTTTAACTGCCATTTCTTCAAAATCCAACCACCTTCTCCTCTTCCTCCTCCTTCTTCTTCTTCACCTTCTCTTTTTGGCCTCCTATCCGGCAGAACAAAAGAAAGAACCTCCATGTCCAACATACCTTTGCATTTTCACCATAGTAACCCACATAAGTATCAACTCTGCGCTACTTACAACTGTAAACCCATAGATTTTAAACCTTCACCGAATTCTGCGGCTGTTAGTTTCGTTCACAGCTCCCCTGAAACCACCTCATTCTCCAATTCTTTTCCGCTATTTACTTCTCCAAGTCTCCCTTCTTCAGGTCTCGGGTTTTCAAATAAGCCCAATAAGATGACAAGTTTGGATTTAGGGAAAGCCATTCATGCCCAGCTGATAAAAACGTATGGATATTGGAATTCTGATTCCATAGCCAAAACTTTGATTTCGAAATACTTGGAGTTTGGTGATCTTCGGTCGGCTTGCATGGTTTTCTTTGTGAGTTTCGCTCGTAATTATGTTTATTGGAGTTATTTTGTAGAGGAGTTTGAGAGTTTTGGAGGGGACAAACATGGAGTTCTTGAAGTTTTCAATGAGTTGCACAGTAGAGTGATGTTTAACAGTAGAGTTCTTACTGTAATTTTGAAACTCTGTGCTAGTTTAACGTATACTTGGCTTGGTTTGGGAATTCATGCTGAACTGATCAAGAGAGGTTTTGATCTGGACGTTTATTTGAAGTGTGCGTTGATGGGTTTTTATGGAAGGTGTTGTAGTTTGGAAAGTGCTAATCAAGTGTTTGCTGAAATGCCAGAACGAGAAGATCTCTTGTGGAATGAAGCTGTTCTGGTGAACTTGAGGAATGAGAGATGGGAAAGAGCGAGTGAGCTGTTTAGGGAAATGCAGTTTTCGTTTGGCAAGGCTACGGCTGGCACCTTGGTGAAGATGCTACAAGCCTGCGGAAATAAGGGAGCTTTCAATGAAGGGAAGCAAATACATGGGTATGTTTTGAAAGTTTCACTAGAATCAAATTTGTCGATATGCAATACCTTGATAGTCATGTATTCAAGGAATGGCAAGCTTGAATTAGCAAGGAAAGTCTTTGATTTAATGGAAGATCGTAATGTGTCTTCATGGAACTCCATTATCTCAAGTTATAATGTATTGGGTTACTTGAATAATGCTTGGGGCCTGTTTCATAAAATGAAATCATCAGGTGTAAAACCAGACATTGTAACCTGGAACTGCCTTTTGTCTGCCCATGCTCTTCATGGCTCACACAAAGAAGTCTTGGCCATATTGAGAAAGATGCAAGATGAGGGTTTCAGGCCAAATTCCAGCTCTATAACTAGTGTTCTTCAAGCTGTGACTGAACTGGGGCTCTCAACTTTTGGCAAAGAAATTCACGGGTATATCGTCAGAAATGGACTTGATTATGATGTATATGTAGGGACCTCATTGATAGACATGTATGTGAAGAATGATTGCTTAACCAGCGCTCAGGTATTTTTGGACAATATGAACAACAGGAACATTGTTGCTTGGAATTCATTAATATCAGGCTATTTATCAAAGGGCCAATTTGAAGATGCTACAAGATTGTTGAATCATATGGAAGAGGAGGGTATTGAACCTGATTCAGTGACCTGGAATAGTCTGCTTTCTGGGTATTCAATTTGGGGGCACAAGGAGGAAGCTTTAGCTGTGATTCATCAAATGAAAAGTTCAGGATTAATTCCTAACGTGGTTTCATGGACTGCTCTAATATCAGGCAGTTCACAGAAAGGGAAGTACAGAGAATCCCTTGAATATTTTATCCAAATGCAACAGGAAGATGTCAAACCCAATTCTGCCACCATATCCAGTTTACTTCGAGCTTGTGGAGGCCTGTGTCTGTTGCAGAAAGGCAAGGAGATACACTGCATTTGTATAAGAAATGGTTTAATCGATGATATATATGTAGTTACAGCACTGATTGATATGTATAGTAAGTCCAGCAATTTAAACAGTGCATATGAAGTTTTCAGGAAATTTGAGAACAAGACACTACCCTGCTGGAATTGCATGATCATGGCTTTTGCCACTTATGGGCGTGGAAAAGACGCAATTGCACTTTTTGATGAGATGCGTGGAGTGGGTGTCCAGCCAGATGCTATAACCTTCACAGCTCTCCTCTCTGGTTGCAAAAACTCAGGTTTTGTTGATGAAGGGTGGAAATATTTTGATAGTATGAGTACGGACTACAAAATAATGCCAACAATTGAACATTACTCATGCATGGTAGATCTTCTTGGGAAAGCTGGTTATCTAGATGAAGCTTGGGACTTCATTCAAACAATGCCCATAAAGCCAGATGCTACTGTTTGGGGTGCTCTGCTAGGATCCTGCCGAATCCACAAACACATGGAATTTGCAGAGGTTGCTGCAAAGAAGCTTTTTGAGTTAGAACCATATAACTCTGCTAATTATGTTTTGATGATGAACTTGTATGCTTCGTCAAGCATATGGGAAGATGTAGCACGTCTCAAAGACTTGATGCGTGAAAAAGGAGTGAAAACCAAGCATGTATGGAGCTGGATACAAATTGATCAGACAGTCCATGTGTTCTCTGCAGAAGGAAAACCCCATCCAGATGAAGGGGAAATATACTTTGAGTTGTACCATTTGGTTTCTGAAATGAAAAAAGTCGGGTACATGCCTGACATCAGTTGCGTACATCAGAACATCGATGAGGGAGAAAAGGAAAAGACACTAATGAGCCATACGGAGAAGCTGGCCATTACCTATGGATTGATCAAAACGAAGGGTAACATCCCTATCAGGGTGTTTAAGAACACAAGGGTTTGCCTGGACTGCCATACAGCAGCAAAATACATGTCTATTGTACGAAGGCGAGAAATTTTCGTAGGGGATGGTGTTCGGTTTCACCATTTCAGAGATGGAAAATGTTGCTGCAATGACTGCTGGTAATAAAAAGCAATAATTGTTTTCTTGATTGAATATCTCCGGACATAACACTTCAAGCAAACAATTTGCCCAGCCCAAGCCAAGCACGAAGAAAAATACCATTTGGTCTGACTTCTTGGAGGGTGGTGGAATGCCTGGATTATGTAAAGCTAAGTCGTTTCGCCAAAGAAGCAAATAAAGTTGCTGATCGCATAACCAAAAGAGGAGACTCTAGTATCTTCAAGATGGAAAAACTTTCAACCGAGTTGCTGATCTCGCCATGGAGTCAGATCTACAAACAGGAAGCAAATTTTTTGGGTAACATGTTTATACCGAATTGCTGTATGTAGAAGTTATTATATTTTAAATAATAACTCGAGAAGAAAGTTGTCAAATAAAATTTCAGTTCAATTTATACCCACAACTCACTATTAAAGAAAAAAAAAAATTATTCTTAAACACGTGTCAGGAAACATTAGGTAAAGCCTAATTAATCTTAATGCAAATATTTAGGAAGTTATTAAAAGTGTTTCTAAAATTTGTATATATATATATAAGTAAAATTGTAAATTAACACGTTTAAATTTTTCCTTTTTATAGATTATCTTATATTTAAAAGAATAATATCTATTGAAATATATTAAATAAAACTAATGTCACAATATAGATACCGGTTCCTTTTTTATTTGATGTCATAATATGTACAGTTATTTATTTAAATATTTTAACATATAAAGAGAGTGTGAGTATCATAATATTGTATAAAGTGTTCATTAACATATAAAGTTTTGAGTTAGATGTGGTTGTAGTTCTTTATTTTTTAGTGAGATGTGGTTGGGGTTGGTGTGAGTGGGTTGCAGGTCGAAAAATGAGATTTTTTAAACCCTATACCGTTGGAAATGAATTTCAAAAAATTAAACTCTCCCCCAAATTTAAGTTATATCGCCCTATCCAAAAAGTAAGGTGATAATACTTCAAATTTATGTTTAAATTGTGCTTTTACATAAAAATTTGATAAGTAAAATTTTAAAACTAATATGAGCACCGAAACAAACATAGGGATGGATTGAACTTCAGCATTTCTGAATTATTTGACCAAAATGATGGTGGTCTGGGGAGACATGGAAAGCTACTTCTGGTTTATGAAGTATGATTAACTCCCAAAACTAATCTCTCGCTACTAACTATGAATATGAATTCTTTTCCAATAACTAAGCTAAACACAACATAGACCATTTATGTAAGAAAACAACAGGAAAACAGTGTAGTCAAGGGACATTTTTGTAAAGAAACAACACATCAGTGCACGTATGAGATGAACCCCAAATCCACATATTGTTCCATACATGTCATGAATATTTACAGATATGGTCAAAGAAAACATCCATCGTAGCTCCATGAACCAACCCCGCAAATATAACAACGAGAAACCATTAATCCTTTCATACCCAATGAATTTCTTTTGGGACCTTCCCTAATAACCTCATTCTATAAAAGATGGGGCAAAAAAGATGAGGGGAGGACAGGCAGGTTTTAAATGATTCGAAATCCCAGGATCACTGTTGAGCAAGAAAACAAACGAGAAGAAAACAAAGCATGAAACAACGACTTGATAGGGTCCCTCCACCAGCCAAAACTGCATTCAAAACTTCTGATGACTACTGGCTTCTTCTACACCAATTTCTACACAGTTTCCAGGACCTACAACCCTCAAATGCATACAAGTGTGCAACCAGACCACCACTACCACAGTCCTCCCTATCCTCAACGCTCAGAATCCGTTGATGGGTTCTGCCCTGTCCTGCACAGCCATCCTCTCGGAGACATCGGCCAGTGATTTCAGATTACACGCAATCAGTGTGGACGTGAAGTAACAGGTCTCTTCCCTTGTGTTCCCTTCAGGCACATCTACCACAAAGGACTCAATCACCATCGTCCCTGGTCTTTCATCGATTATCTCTGGGTGGACTGTAATGATGGAAGAGTAATTCTGTAGAAACAGAATCACAACAAAAAATTTGATGGTCTTCCATTTTGACAAAGCTAATTAGAGTTCCAAAAAGGAAAAGGGAACAGCATATACCACCAACACCATTTCCAGATAAAACAAGTACATGTCATAGCAACTTTTTTTAATCCATTAGCAAACAGTAACTCCTAAAAGTGAAAGAGAAGGAACCCACTCCAAGCTGTCCTCCATTAACGATGTTAAAGAGAACAGAGAAAGGGAGAATTACATACCTTTAGCCTGTGATCACCACCAACAATCTTGATGCCAAGGATGTGCTCCTCGTCATCAAGGAATTCCAACCTCTCCCTGCTCGTGGTAGCAGGAAGGCCGGACTTGACGTTGACTTCTCTCACACTTCCGATCCCAAGGTCACCGTTCACAACACACCTGCTAATAAATGGCTTGTACCTTTGAGGCTGATCAAATCTCCTCACCAGAGACCACACCTACCAACAATAAACCAGTTTAGATTATTAAACCAAAAATATGAAGAAAAACCGAAAAAATTGATGGCAAAGTTCAATTCATTTGGGTAGATTATTAAGTCAACAGAGCCCAAAGATCTGAATTCTTTGTATTGAACAAGAAGAATTAAAACTAGATTGTCTAAAAGCTGCCAAAATAGTAAGGAGAAATGTGGGAAGCGACGAAATCGGAGGACCGATTAGTCGAATCCGGATTCTCTTATTCATATTCATATGCCCGCCGTTCCTGCATTTTCCCGGCGACCAAACGCAGGATAAACTAACAATCAGAATCACCCTAACGAAATATGAGTAAATCCGACACGTGTAGACCGCAAAACTTTTCTTGAACAACCAAGAGAGTCAACAAAAAAAGAAAAACTAACCTAATTATTACTTCAAATTCAAAAGATTTGACGCGAATAAATACAAGCCAATCAACACAGGGGAATCAAATAACCAGATAGTTGACAGATCTACAGACGAAAACAAAGTCAAACATCTAAAAACCTCCGTTATCAACACAAAAATTAAAAAGATAAAAAGAAGTAAAAAAAGTTATAGTTGCCGAAATGAGTGATCGGCGGGACTTACGAGATGGACAGGTGCCTTGATGTGCTTGACCAAGGCAGAAGTACACTGATTCTCTCTGGGCTGGTGCCTATGGTGCCTCCGTATGTACTGCGACTCCAATACACCGTATGCATCACCGCCGTCCATTTTCGATGATTCAGTAATCTGCTTAGAAGCTGAGTCTTTCTGTGTCTGGAAAGAGGCGGGCGTTGAAGACAGAAACTAAAAGAGACGAGAAATGGCGATAGGGGTGGTTGCAGGAAAGTTTTGTAGAGATAAGTCAAGTTGGGCCTGGGAGTTGTATCAAAAATCCGGGAATCCACCGACAGTCTGTCATTTTATATTTGAGTATTAGAAAAAGCCCAACGGCCTGCTCTGCAGTGGCCCCCACCACCTTCCTTCCTGCTTATCCTCTTAATCTTGTTTAGTATAGGAATCAGAAATTTGTTAACATCACATGTAGTTGAAAGTATTTGCGGTCACAGTCCACTCTGTTTTGTTGGTTATAACAGAAAAGTTTAGGTTCCTTTTGTCTGGTTTGGGTATACGAGCATATATGACCCGCACTAAGTAGTGGTCCTTTTTATCTTATCTTTTTCTTAAAAAAAAATTCTCTCCTTTCTTCTTTAATTTTTTGGTTCTAGAAATAGTAGCACATGTAAAGCATAAACTACAGTACAAGCTTGGGGGGGGTGGGGGCCATGCACATACATATACATATACATATACATATAAATATGCATGTGTGGAATATATGTATCCCTTCAGATCAACTAAAAACAAGTAGTAGAAACCATCCAAAAAAATAAAAATAAAAATAAAAATAAAAAGCCCTGTGTGATTAAACCCATTTGGTAAATTATGGCCCACTTGAATATGTTGTATTTTACATATTGCATTTATCTAAAAAAAAAAAAACATATATAAACATTAGATTTTTATAAGTAATAAATATATCAACCATTGGTTCCATACATAATACACTATTTTTAATCACATACATACTTCCTTGTCCTAATTCATTGTGTATTATTTTTTTTAATATTATATAAGCTTCTCATTATTTGGATACAATTATAATTGAGACATTATTTCTTTGTGAATTCATTCATAAATTTGTATTTATTCAATTAAAAATAATATAAATTGTATCATAGTGACAATAAAAATTAACATTGTATCATTTTTTTTTGTTGAAAACTAGAAGAAGACCCTCTAAATGATATTTTAAATAATATCATTTAAATCAATAACAATTTCACATGAAATCTATTTTTATTATTTATATAAAAAAAAAGAAATTATCCTCCTCTGACTTAAGTAATTATCATTTTGTAAATAAATTATAAAAAAATTATAAACTTTATTCCAATATTAAGATTTTTTTGTATGGGAAATATGTATAATGTCAATGTTTATGTCATGCTTTGTCAGCTTTTGTTTTGTAGAAAACATGTCCCCTTGCCCTCTCAGTGTGGTCTTATATATTAATTAATTGCAATTTTTTTAACCTAAAGAAAAATATAAAAAGATTAAAAAAAAGGTTTTAAAAAGAAAAAAAATTCGCGGTAATTCCCATCCAATTAAACAGAAAATTACACAAAGTAACTTCATATTGGGCCCACCAAGTGGACCCACCTTAAACTTCCCCCAAAAAAATTACAAAAAGTTTCATAACCAGATGAACGGTTAAAAAATGAACACGTGTCAAATACATGAAAGGTGGGCAAAAATCGAAAGGCTCTAATTTGTGGTTCTTATTGGCCCACGTTGACGATAGTATTTATCCTTACATATATAAATAATTTAATGTTTCATTAATTTTGCATCACCCATATTATACCTACCAAAGAAAAAATAAATAAATTTAAAATGGATTATTTTTGTCTAGTAGTTAGGCCAAATCTGAAACGATTTAATTTAAGCAAGCTGCTTTTTCGTTTGCTTGTGGTTATGAATCAAAGAATTTGCTCAGTGAGATGTGTTTAATTTTGTAAACAATATTTTAATATAAAATAAATAGATGTATACAAATGAAAATTTTAATTTTAATGTAAGGATAAAAATATTTTTACCCCAAAAAAAAAAATAAGTAAATAAAAATAAAAAAGCAACGACAGAAGAAAACAAATGATCTAATCCACAATGTTGAGAATAATTTTTTTCCTAGTTTAGGGGCAACCATATTGAATGCATACATATATATACATATATATATATATATACACGTATATGTATTTGGAATTATAATAATAAAAAAAAAAAGAAGAAAAAGAAAAAGGTATTTTCTATCTTTATCCCAAAAAGATATGTGTCTTTGATTACTCGCCACGCCCATACGGTTTCTTCATGTGAAATTTTCTTCTTATCAAAGATAACAAATGAAAATGATAACACAGATTTTATGAAACCTAAATACACGAGAGATTATTTAATAAATAATCAAATATTATAATATATATTAATTATATTTAAAAATAAAAAATAAAAACTAAAAAAAATAAAGTAAATGATACAAACTTTAGTTAATCAATTTGATTGTGCGAATGAATGTATATGATATTTGAGAAGAGAAAAAGAGAATTTTGAAGGAAAAAGAAAATCTTAGCTCGATTGCATTCAAGTTGGAGTAAACTATTCATTAACGGCAAAAACAATGTGTTGTTGTGATTCATATTTAAAGACAATTATTATAGCACATTCGGCAAGCACTACAAATTTTTCAAAAGATCTCCAACAATTTGCATCATAATTATATTTTTAATATGTTTTAGTATTATATTCAGTGGTATACATATAGTATCGAATTGTATGTTTAACACATTAGCAATACTATTGTATTTTCAATCAAAAATATAAATTGTAAAAACATAAGATATTTCTTTCAAAAGATTCAGCTCAAAAACTATATAATTATATACCAAAAATTCAAAATTTTTATTTCAAAAAAAAAAAACAAATCAAACCTTTAAATACTGTGTAATACTTAAAATATTTATATGATATGTAATACTCATAGCCGAAATTTAACTCGGGATAAATTTTCTAACTTATAATATATATATATATAATTAAAAAAATATTATTTTAATATAATTTTATTAAATTATTTGAAAAAAAAATAAGTTAAGAATGAAAATATAAGCAATTTAGAGAAAAATGAGTGAAATTTTGAGTTTGGAATATATTTTTGAAAGAAAAATTAAAAATAAAGGGTCAAAATACAAAAAAGAAAAATTCGGCCACGTGAGATAGTCTAGTCAGCAGCCATGACGAACCAAAGCACACTGCGTGGCAAAACACGCTGACATCAACGCCACGCGGGCGATCTGCATGCCCAAAGATCCGAGGACCTAAATTCAATCTCCTGTGTGTGAGCCATTCAGATGCATTCCCTCCTTAAGCGCGATCGGACGGATGAGATCAATCGCGATAAACGATCCAGATTCGTCCGCGTGATCGGCCTAAATAGGCAACAATCGGATGATTTTCCTCGCTCCACGTCGATGCAAATAGATGGCCTAGATAGATGCGGGATGAGTATCTAAACATCGCGTCACAGGGGAACACTAACCCTAGCCGTACCTACCCTCACTGGAGAAAAAGGACCAACAGCCAGAGAAAGAGACCAACATCCGGTCGCTGCCGCACCGGAGTCACCGTCAACAGCCAAAAAAAGGTAAAATTCTCTCATACCCGCTCGGAATTCGATTCCGCGTCTCTCTGTGGCTATATCGAAACAAAAGAGATGGCGGGTGAGCTAGAAATCGTAGACAAAGTCCGACAGAGCCGCTGATGCCAAAATCCTAAAACTCCTTCAATGAGCCCCTTTCCGTTTTCCATTTCACATAAATTTTTTATCATTGTGTTCATCATCCTTTTTTGTGCAGGTTAGTTGAAGAAGAAATCCCAACTACGAAGGAGAATCAGCAAAGTCGCCACATCTGGAAATCCCCCCCTTCTACCGGTAGGTTCAGTTTCTTGTGATTTCTGGCCAACCGAGACCATTTAACGTATTTTTTTGCAGGAATACATGTAAAATCGAATGAAAAAGGTCAAAATCAACTAAAACCGGCTAAGCCAAGATGAACTACTACCATGGGCAGTGGAGCCGGTGTCGGAGCACAACAGCGCCATCATGCCAGAACCCTAAAATTGGCTGTAAGGGATTTTCGACACCGATTTTAGATTTTTTGAAATATTTTTAGGTACGTGACAAGTATTTTAATTATAGCAAAAAAAATTTAAAAAATTCGAGACTCGTTAGGAGAAGTAGTACGATGTTTTCAAACACTGATCCGGGTAAAGATCCATCACTTTTTTGTCGGTTACAGTAAATTGATGATTAATAATCAATAATTGTGTGTTTTGTGAAAAATTAGAAAAATCCTAAAAATATTACAAGTTACTAGTGGATGCAAAATTGGTTAGTTCACATTTATCCTGATTCCATGTTTATTTTCCTGTACTGTCTATATTTATTTACTATTATACTCTGCGTAATTGAATTGATAGTTTTTATGATCTTTTTAATTATTTAGTTCCTCCTGCATTGTTTATTCGATATTCTGGTCACTGGTTATTTGGTTATGCTAAACTATATCACTTGGTTAAGTGCCATTTGAATTAATCTTTGAATATTAAATGAGATTTTAGTATACTTTAGTAGTTGTTTGGATAATAAGAGTCTAAATAAATGAAAGCTTACTTGACATCTTATGAAAGGGTGGACGGACTCGGTGCATAGGGAACTCTACTATGGATATTACCTCTGTCGGATGAGGCTAAAAAGTCTTATATCGGAAGGGTTTTGAAAGATATGGTTCACCATATTACCAGACAGGGTATCAAGACGATAACATTTTTTTGGCATTCATTACCGGACGGGGTATGGGGTCGGTCAAGTTAATTGCCAAATCTTGATACTGAGTTCGCGAATATAGGAATATCTCTATGGAC